ATTTAACACAAAATCCCTTTTTTCTTTTCCTTTTCCTTAGCAGGAATCTCTCACTGTAGCCACCACAGTGAGCTGGGAATTTGCTGGGTTTCACCTCAAGCCAGCATGTCTGAATCTCAACCAGCTTACTACCTGGGTATTGCTGTTGGTTATTCAGGCCTGAGTGTTCTTTAGTCAGCAGCGAATCCTGCCAGGATTGGGTCCTTTCCTTCAAGGCAGTGGGTTCCCTTTTGGCTCAGGGTGTATCTAGAAATGTTGTCCAGGAGGTAGGGCCTGGAATGGGGCCTCAGTACTCTGCCTGCTGCCTTATCCTACTGTGACTAAGCTGGTATACAAGGTATAAGACAAACATCTGTTACCTTCACTTGTTGCCTTCCTATCCTGAAGCAGAAGAGAGTCCCTTATCATTGCTATGAGCTCCATCGCCTGGGGTTTGGGGAGAAGTGACCCATCTATTGCCTTGGTTGCCTCGCCTAGTGGCTCAGCTGGTCATGTGCTGACTGAGTCCACTGACTCTAAGACTAAGACTTGCCCAGGAATTGCAGTCCTTGTGTCCTAGACTGCCTTTCAAGTTCACCTGGGACCCTAGAGCACTTCAGCCTTTGGTGGCAAGGCTTGTTTGATTTCTAATCTCTTGGATGGGCGATTCTCTTCTGATTAGGTCATGTCCAAATGCTCCCGTTTGTGGGTGACTGCTAGCTGAGTCCAGCACATTTTTGCTACCCACTGTGATTGGTCAGCACTGCAGAGTCCCCTAGTCCCTGTGCTCTCCCCACCCAAGTACACACATTGTTTGTCCGTGCCACACAGATGCTATTGCAGGATGGGGGAGAGGTGGCATCAGCAATTGAAGATGGTCTTTCCTGCCCTCTTTATTGCCTCTTTAATTGTACTATGATTGCTCACTTGATTTTTACTTCTTTGGCGGTGTCTTTTTGTGTGTAGTTGGTAAAATTGCTATTCCTGCAGAGGGAACGTTCTTATCAATGGAGGCTTTGATTTGGCCATCTTGCTTTGCCTCCCCTCTTATCTTTTTTTCCTGCTAAGATAAAATAAACCAGTCCTCAAACTTTCAGCATAGTAAACATTCTGTAATGCAGATAGAGATTTTATCTACAATCCTACTATCCTGAAGTGATCATAATCAACATTTTGGGTTTGAATTACTGTTCTTTTTAGTATGTTATTTAATCTTACCTGTTTCCTTACTTGTAGAACCAGGATAAACAGTGGTGTACTTCATTAACCTAACAACTCTGTGAAATAAATAAGTTGATGTAAAGTGTTTAAAATAGTACTAGTTATATAGTAAGTGTTGGCTATTAAGAAATCTTTCACATGTATTTCACAGCTTTGTATACTTGTAGGCAGTGTTTTAGTGGAATATTTTTATGATAGGTGGTTCCGATTACATTTCTTGCCAGACAGCTTGGCAACCCAAAGAACTGATTCTTTTAGAAACGTGAACTTCACATGTACAAAATACAGCTGATTGCATTATCTTTCTCTGTGACAGTTCAAACAGTAATAAGTAACCTCTTGACTCCATTAATTCTTTCTTGCATGCTTATTATTTTTTTCTTGACTCACCTCACTTTTATTTGAATCACAGGAGATGTATTTAAAGTATTTATTCTTGTAACTTGGCCCAGTTTAATTCTTTTTAAGAAATAGGATCAACAATCTTTGTTTAGTATAGGTAGGGAGAGGAGTGTCAACATGGAAAAAGTCAAATCTTGCCTGATTTTGAAGAAGCAAGTAGATTTGTACACAATTCAGATCCAGTTATCCTAATTATTTTGACCTTTAAAAAAACCAAACAACAACAGACCACACAGCTTTCACAAAAGTATGAAAGCAAGAGTCTTTTAAAACTTGAGTAACCCAAGGGCTAATGGATTTTTTAAATATATATATATATATATAAATTATGGTTTTAGGAAACTAGCTTGATGTTAGAAAAGTGTAGAAGAAACTGATACTTTTGGAAAGAGCAAAACAATAAATGTACTCTTCATGGAATCAGAGTTATGTGGAAGCTTTTAAAATATTTTTATAAGTGAAGTAGAGTAAATATGCCTGATTGGTGGTTGATAGTAAGTGTAAGTGTTCTTAAAGACTATCAACAGTAAGTTACAGAAGGAACTCACAAAACAGAGTTGGAAGAATGGGGGGTTGAGGTAAGACCTTCTCTTAGGCTCACCCAACTTAATCTGTTGTCTCCGAATGTGCTTTAGGAGGTACTTTTCCTTCTCTTTTAGGAGAGGTGAAGTGTGTTACATACCTGTTCTCTCACTCTGATTCTCTTATTTTCTCTTAGTCCTTTACTGGTTACATGGACATACTGTATAACTGAGGCCCAAGCAGCCTCTCGCTGTCCCAGTATCCATTAATAAAAGGTGCAGTCATATATTCCTCCTTCAGTGGACCCAAAGTACAGTGTATGCACTATCAGTTACTACCAAGAAGGTTATTGTGTTTATTCTTTAAAGATGCCCTAGACGAAGACTGTTACCTTAAAGCTCAAAAAGTGCTGGACTCTAAAGAGGCTGGAAACAAAATGGAAATCCTTTTCTTTCCTAAATTTACATGAAATCATGACATCCCATGTGTTACCAACCCGGAAGAAACTTCTAAGTGGGAGAACTTCCCAGGAGGATGATTTTAAGAGGCCACAACACACTTTTTAAAGACAAATTCAAATCCCATGTTTATAAAGACTTCTTTCCGTTTTAACTGATGGCTGTCACTCCACTTTTCATATAGCTGCTTCATGTTGTACATGTAGGAACTCAAGTACATGGTAGGAACTCAGTAATGCGTTGGTCCTTAAAGAAGCAGCGTTGAAGAGATTCAATGGCTTCAGTCTGGAAGAGTGAGTACAGGGAGTCAGGGTAGCATTAGTGGCTTGTTTACAGGATTTAGTGTCAAAATGAGTTTCTTCTTTGTAAAATGGAGAAGAAGATAACGTCTTGCTACCTAAGTAGTATAGGTTGAAATTACAGATAGATTTAAGAACAGGTCAGTTAAATTTATGGATGAGAGATTAAATTCAGTTCAAACAATAGATAGGTGCCTGGTACTGTTTTGGACACCATGGGATGTATCAATACCCTATGAGTAAGAAAGCCTTTTGGCTTTATTGTAAGGCCTTTGGGTATATGCAATCTTGTGCCACGTAACATTTCAGTCAGTGGTGGATGGATGGCATGTATGATGGTTGTCCCATAAGATTGTAATTGAGCTGAAAAATTCCTCTCATCTAGTGATGTTGAAGCCATTGTTCATTGTAGTGCAACAAATTACCTCTTTTTGTTTACATACACAAATACTTACCATTGTGTTACAGTTGCCTACAGTAGTCAGTTCAGTAAATGTAACACGTTTGTAGCCTAGGCACAGTAGGCAACATCATATAGCCTAGGTGTGTGGTAGGCTGTCCCTATAATGTCAGTACATTTCGTGATGTTCATATAATGTTGAAATCACCTGATGACATGTTTCTCTAAACGTATCCATCCCCATCATTAAGCGAGGCATGACTGCAGTGTATCTTCAAATGGCTCCCAGCAGAATTTTGGTGAAGTGCTTCTGAGCTCACAGATTTTTTGATTTAGTGTATATATGAGCTTCCTGTGACTTTGTTGTTGTTGTTAAGGTTCACATAAGTAAAATGAGTCTAGAAATCTAGAGATGTTGATAACTATCTCAGATAATACTAAGCTCTTCGTGAACTTTTCTGGGCACTTTTACTTGTCTGGATCCTTTAACATACCATTCAGGGCAGTACAGAATGAACTAGTAACGTTGATACTTGAAGGCATACAGCTGACTCAGACCTTTTTAAAAGAGGTCAGAGTGTAGTGTAAACCTCAGTAAGGAAGTGGTTCCTATCAGAATGGAAACATTCATTTTTTATGTCTGTCTCTGCCTCTCTTGCGTAACAAGAACTTGAGATCTAATGAGCTACATTGTTATTTTAATCTTATTAGTATTCACTGTAATTCCATTAATTACTTCGAAGTAGGAAACTTTCTCCATTTTTTGGAAACATACCTTTGTTAATTATGAACTACTTATGTAGTTATTTCTTTCTACAGTGTTTGCTGGGCTCTTTATGCCTTTGTTTTTACCCACTGAGGCAATATTAGATTTTGCAAGATTTGTTAGAAGTCATGTTAAATATTAAGCTAAATGGTTTGTTGTTTTTTGGTGGATAAACCACCTACCTTGTCAGATTCTGTTGCTTTTGCTTTGTGCTTAGGGTGAATAATTTGTAAGGAGATTTGGTTCTTAGCATTTGTAACTTCTTATTTAGAAAATAAATTGATTTAAAGTGTTAGAGATCTCATACAGAGGGGTGTGTGTGTGTGTGTGTGAGTGATTTCTAAAGCAAAACTTACATTTTTGTTGCCTCAAGGGAGGACTTTATTGCATAATATATGTTCATAAGATTTGTGTAGAAATATTCTGCTTGGTAAAAATCTATATAGGTTATATTGTTTCTAATATAATATTGTCCCTAATAAAAAATAAATACAATTGAATTTTATTGAGTTAACTAGCTCAATCCTTAAGGACTGAAAAAATCAGAATTTAACTAGGTTTTTTTTTAAGCCTGGCAGTTAACTCTTTATAAATGGAATTATTTTTATGAAATTCTTTGCCTTTAGTTCGGTGAAAACTGAATTAATGTGTGTAGTAAGGACGTTAATCTTTTGAAATTATAAATCTTACATATTTGATATAAAAATTAAAAGCATTTGGGTTGGCTTTAATTTTTTTTATAAAAAATTAAGGACTTAAAATTTTTCATGGTTTTCATTGAAAATGTTTGAAACCCTGTCTAATTGAAGAATTATGGTAATGTACAATTATTAACAAGGATGTTTGTTGATTAAATGTTTAATGTATTCATGTGATTGCCACAGAATGGAATCTCAGAAATGTGCTTTCCCAATAAAGTTGATATTCATAATGATTTTAAATTTTTATTGCAGCTAGAACGAGTAAATCTATCTGCAGCTCAGACACTGAGAGCCGCTTTCATTAAGGTGAGGTGCAAATAATTTATTATGATTAAAGTGTGCAGTATTTGTAAATATAAGTACATGTGATGGTTGCCAGTTTATTTTCTTTTAGTGAAACCCTTTTTAGCCATCTTATGCCTGTTTTACTATATTCAATAAAGCTTAAAACACTTCCAGAAGATAAACTAGAACAAATGCTGTTATCATTAGCATTTATTTCATCTTTTCATCACTTTGTGCCTTTGAAACTGACTTTTTCAGAGTGTTCTCTTTAACTGTACATTATATTTTTGAGGGTTTTTTTTTTTTTTTTTTTTTTTTACCTTTTGAAAACTTACATGGCTGGGCATGGTGGCTCATGCCTGTCATCTCAACACTTTGAGAGGTTGAGGCCTGGAGCTCAAGACCAGCCTGGGCAGTAGAGCGAAACCCCATATCTACAGAAAATGAAAATGTTAGCCAGGCATGGTGATGTGTGCCTGTTGTTCATGCTACTGAGGAGGCTGAGGCAGGAGAATTGCTAGAGCCCAGGAGTTTGAGGCTACAGTGAGCCATGATTGTGCCACTGTGATCCAGCCTGGGTGACAGAGCAAGAGCCTGTCTCAAAATAAAGTAAAAATTTAAAGTATTTGTAAAAGTTTAAAAGTATTTTAAAAAGTATTTGTAAAAGTTTAACTTGAGAAGTTATTCTATTGTTTAATTATAGAACATGAGTCTAACATATTTTTCAACAGGAAAATAATGCCTTCAAATATAGTGAATTAAATGTACTTTAAGGATATACAGTTAAGTCACTCAAAATTTTTTCATTGTCTTTAGACCTAAGCTGTTCAGTGGATCATCACTAGCCACATGTTGCTTTTGAGCATTTCAAATAAGACTAGTTCATATCGAGATATGTTCCAAGTTAAAATATACGCCGATTTTGAAGACTTTAAGAAAAATGTAAACTAGCTCAGTAATCTAAGTATTTTATAATGATTACATGTTGAAATGATAATCTTTTGGATGTATGAGTAAAATAATTTTACCCGTGTCTTTCTCCTGTTTTTTTAATGTGGCCACTTAAAATTACATAGGTAGCTCATAGTTGTTGCTGATACTACATTTCTGTTGTACAGCCCTACTTTAGAGACTTACCGTACATGTTGAATGTATTCTTTAATGTAAAACTTTTATCTGGTCCTCCATCCCAAATATATATCATGGTGCCCAAAATGTTAATTTTCGTGTTCCTTCCTGTCAGCAGCTTAAATAACCTGTCTTTTAGGTAAAGTATTGTAATGTTTAAATGTGGAATACATTTATATTTTAATTGGAGTTGAAACTGTAAATCCATTAAGCTTGATTTCTTTCATGTTACAAAAGTTTGTTAATACCACCCTTTGCTGATAGCACAGGTAATGCCACTAGATATTTCATATTATCACAATAATCTATATTATATATGTTAGACTAGAGCTTTTTTGATTGAATATCTTATGATGCAAGGTGAGTATATATATTTAGTAGCTTCATTAAATTGCATCACCCCAAATCATTGGGTTAGTGAAGCAACCCCATAATCTTTTTTTTTTATTGTTGTTTTCTTCTTTGAGTGTCAGTTTGGTTTTGGAATGGCATATTTGATCATTAGGGAGGCATGATGCTATCTTAAGCATCTTTGTGGCCAAAAGAAGGAAAAGTAATCTGTACAGTATAGTGTTGCTTAGACAAAAGTCAAGTTTGCAGCTTTTCTAATACCAGGAACAGAGAGAAGACCCTGTCTGATGGAGTAAATAATATCTTCAATCACATTCATAAGATAAAATAAATTTTATGAGGGTTTTTCTTGTAACATTCTAACGTACAAGCTAATGATTTAATGCTTAAGCACAAATTATGTGGCTGTGATAGATATGGTTTGATCCATGGATAAAGTTTCTCTTCCATGGCTAGTATGTTATTTATTTTGGAAGAAAACAAATTAGCTAACTTTGCACTGATTTTTTTTTCCACTGATGTATTTTAAATGATCACATTTAATTTGTTAAATTTCAAATGAAATGGAAGGAAGACATGTTAAAAACAGATGTTTGTATTTTTTTAATTACAACTTTTGAAAAATTATGAAAGAAACCTTACCAGTCGTAAAATCTTTTATATTCATACTTCCAATTATTGGTCTACAACAACAATTTTTATTATACTTTTTGTCATTTGGAAGAAAAAGAGGATTAAAATAGTTTTTTCCCAAGATAATACTACTGAATATTTTAATATATATACAGTTGACCCTTGAACAATGTGGAGATTAGAGGTGCTGATCCCCTGCACAGTTGAAAATTTGAGTATAAGTTTTGACTTCAAAAAAACTTAACTACTAAAAGCCTACTATTGACTAGAACATCTTACTGGTAGCAGAAACAGTCAATTAACATGTATTTTGTGTATCTTATATATTACATACTGTGTTCTTTAAGTTAGAGAAAAGAAAATGTTATTAACAAAATCAGAAGAGAAAATATATTTATTACTCATTAAGTGGAAGTGGATCATCATAAAGGTCTGCATCCTTGTCGTCTTCACATTAAATAGGCTGAGGAGGAGGAAGGGAAGGGGTTGGTCTTGCTAGCTCAGGGATGGCAGAAGTAGAGGCGGTGGATGGGGAGGCAAGAGGCAGGCACACTTAGTATAACTTTAATTTCTGACTTACTTGCTTTGTCATTTCTCAGAAAATGTTTCCGTACAGTACCAGTCTTCCAACATGTTCTTTAGCTTCAGTGTTCGTGTCATAGAAGGGTCTGTCATAAAGCAACCTTGAATAAACAGAATTCTTCTGCTGGATTGTCTCATGTCCATTTGTTTTCTGGCACTCCTTTCTCATTGTCTGTTTACTCTTAAATTTCTCTTATATTCGTATCTTGAAACCCTTCATCCTCTACCATTTTTATGATATCTACAATCTCTTTCGTGATTTCCGTGGCACTGTTGTAAATCCTGTGGAGTCATGGACAACATGTGGACACAGTTTTCTCTAGCAGAAATTTATTGTTTTAGGCTCCAAGTGTTTTTCTATAGCAATAATATCATCAATGGTGTAATTCTTCCAGACTTACCTGGTATTTTTTCTACCAAGGATTGTTAACATCCCTTTCCATAGAGACTTTATGGTTCCTTGTATAATGAGCCTTAAAAGTTCTTATAATCCCCATATGTAGAGGCTGATTTAGAGGTATGGTGTTTTGGGACAAGAAGGCCACTTTGACACCTTCTGTATCTCATTGGGGTTCTGGGAGGCAAGGGACATTATCCAATATCAGATGAATTTTTAAAAATAATAATAAAAGAGCCGGGCGCGGTGGCTCAAGCCTGTAATCCCAGCACTTTGGGAGGCCGAGGCGGGTGGATCACGAGGTCGAGAGATCGAGACCATCCTGGTCAACATTGTGAAACCCCGTCTCTACTAAAAATACAAAAAATTAGCTGGGCATGGTGGCGTGTGCCTATAATCCCAGCTACTCAGGAGGCTGAGGCAGGAGAATTGCCTGAACCCAGGAGGCGGAGGTTGCGGTGAGCCGAGATCGCGCCATTGCACTCCAGCCTGGGTAACAAGAGTGAAACTCCGTCTCAAAAAAAAAAAAAAAAAAAAAAAAAAAAAAAAAAAAAAAATAATAATAATAATAATAAAAGAAAGGCTAGTTGCAGAGGCTTGTAATCCTAGCACTTTGGGAGGCCAAAGTGTGAGACTAGAGACCAGAAGTTCAAGACCAGCCTAGGCAACATAGCAAGACCTTGTATCTAATTGCATGTGTGTGTGTGTAGATATCTGATATCTATATATACATCTGATATCTCTAAATATATATCTGATATCTATATAGGTCTATATATCTATAGATCTATATATATAGATCTATAGATATATAGGTATTTCTATAGATTCATACATACAGTCAGAAGAACTTTAAAAGACCATCCCTTATTGCCAAGGTGCTTTCTAACTTCAGGAACAAAGCATTGATGGCACCAGTCTAGAACAAGGGTTCTCTTTGTCTAGGTTGTCTTGTATGACCACAAGACTGGCAGCTGGTATTTTTCTTTTCCTTTCAAGGCTCCGGGGTTTAACAGAATTGTATTACCTGATTATATACCCTTACTGCCTTAAATTCTGAAACTCACTTATCTGCCTTACTAATATTCTTTGTGGCTCTTTTTTTCTTCAGAATAGGACACTTTGATCTGTATTAAAAAAACCTTTTCAGGCAGAATAATTTTTCATCAGAGATTTTCATAATGGTGTGTGGGGACTTACTCACTGCTGCTTGTCAGAATCTGCTTCTCCTGTTACTCCTGTTACCTCGACATTTTAAAAATGAAACCTCTTTCTAAAGTTATCAAACTATCCTTGGCTGGCAGTAAATTCTCAGCTTTAGACTTTTCCTTTTGCTTTATCATAGGATGACTTTGCCTTTTCTTGAATCATATTAGGTTCTGTAGGTATGCCTTTCTTACAGATATCCTGCACACACTTAAAAGCTGCATTTTCAACAAGAGGCAAAAAGGTATTTCACAAAACATGCAACGTTTTCCTACCTGTTGATGTAGTTGCAGCAATTGCTTCGTTTCATGAATTTCCTTTTTTCTTCCTCCTTACAATGATCTTTAGGCTGGATTCAGGCAATTCAGTATCACTCAATTCACCTTCTTGTCATGTCACGTCTTTGCTGCTTGAGCACACTTCCAGCATCACTAGTGGCACTTTGTTGGGTCTCATGGTGTTATTCCAGGTTTAAATCATTGCACTAAACATCAGGAAAAAAAAAAAAGTGAGACCTAGGAGGTATTACTTTGTATTGGGATGTGCAGTTTGCTGGAGAGATGAACTGCTCACATGGAGATTATTAGAGTCACACAGTGTTTTAATCATATACTTACTAATACTTGAACTCACTGCAACAGCAATAGGAGGTGGCTTCAAAATTATTACATATACATATGTATTAATTGTGCAGTTATGATTTAATATTGTGTCTGTACATTTGTTTATATTTCTGTTAACTGCAAATAGCACCATGTACGGTCTGTGTTTGTGTGTGTTTTGATTAAGTTTTAACTTTTTAATAATTTGTGTATATTTTATGATAGATACTAAAATAGACTAGTAGATACCTATATTTTATGCATTCATAACGTATGTTTTTATTATTATTTTCACTATAGGCCAGTTTATAAATTTTCTCAAATTGTCACTGATCTCCAAAAAATTGTCCTATGTATTTATTGAAAAGTAATTGCATGTAAGTTACTTTTTTTTTTTAACCTGAGCAGTTAAAACCACTTCTTCAAGGGTTAGCTGTATTCTACTTGATTCTCTCTCTCCCTTATTTCTTTATGAGCTTCCAACAGGTTGTCCATCTTCCAAATTGAGAATCACTGATCCACAAGAGTGTATGTTGCTGCCCTTCAGGTTATTTTTCTCCTACAGCTGGGTTCTTTACAAAGATTAAACACCCTATCAGGTGTATTCTGAAGGAAAATCTAGAGGTGTAGATTGTTTAGACATAGATTGTCAAGTTGTATTCTGAACGAAAATCTAGAGGTGTAGATTGTCTCTTTAAGAACATATCTGTTCGTTTTGTTTGCTGGAGAGATGAACTGCTCACGTGGAGATGATTAAAAATCATTAAAAATTCAAGCTATTAAAATAAGAATTAGCTTAACCCGGTCTTTAGCCATCAGGTCCTAAGACTACTCCTTCCAGGAGGTACCTGGTGACCTGTAGCAAATTCAGAGGGATACCACGAAGTATTTTAAAATTTTGCAGGTGTACAGTGATACTCAACATCTGTTTGACACTGTGTGGACTCCTAGCTTGAGATAGATTGCAGTTTGGCATATTAGATTGTTCTACACTGCTTTCAATGGTGGTAGGTCATTGAGAAGCTGGATTTCTTGTCCTGTGCTATTATCTAACAAAAGTACCAGAAAAAAAATATGTGTGCAAGAGGAAATGAGAGTGGCAAGTTCCAATCTAAGTCCAGTGTCTGAGAAATTGTGAAGTGCCCAGTAGGCACACACATCTCAGTAATAAGTGACCGTGGTTATTTAAGAATGAAGTAAAACATTTTTCTTTCAATTTATGTGTATTTTTTTTTTAAAGGCTAAGTAGTTAGAATGTAGTACTTAATAAGTTGTTTGGACCTAATTGTTTAATAAACAGCACTGTGAGGTATATCTCTTGGCACTAAGGGCACTAAAAACTGAGAAAGTTAAGGACATCTGTGAGACTTTCGTAATGATCTAGCTTTAGCATTTTGGAGTCCCAGACTGAATTGGTATTGAAAACTTTATTCTAAGACTTTTAGCACTTAAACCTTTCAGTACTTTATTATAACTTAATCAGAGAGATGTTTTTCTTTTGTCATTCCCTACAAGCACATAGAGAATGTTCCCCACCTACGCAAGATAATTCATTATGTAGGTAGATTTATTGCTTTTTAGAGAAGATAAAGTATTGTTAGCAAATGCTACATTATATGTAATTTCGTGGCAGTTTACCACATAAATGCTATAACACATCTTAAGCTATATTTGGACATCTTTTAAAGGAAACTCCTTTTAAAAAAGTTTGTTTGTTTAAAATGAGTTCTTATTCTTAATCACAGGCTGGAGTGCAGTGGCATGATCACAGCTCACTGCAGCCTTGAACTCCTGGTCTCAAGCAGTCCTCCCACCTCAACCATTCAAGTAGCTGGGACCACAGCCACACCCCACCATGCCTGGCTAAAAAATGGATTCTTTCTTAAATATATATCAATGGAGGGAAAAGTCAACATCGTTTATAAAAGAAACAGGATTCAGTCAGACACGGTTGATTGTCATTAATCATCTATCAAAATTATTTTCCCTGAATAGTATTTGACAGCATTTAAAATGATCCCAGGATTGAGATAAATGCGTGTATTTTCTTATTTCGTCCCACAACGCTTCGGTTTTTTGATACTTGAGATCTAATGAGAAACAAGACAAGCTAATGGAAAGAGCAATAGGAAGAGAAGAAAACTGTATTTGCAGTGATAATCAGTGGAATTGAAGAGGCAGAGGTTAAGTGTGCTTGACACATAGGGCAACAAAAAGATTGCCATCTGATTAAGATCAAAAATTGTGTTTCTATTTGCTGTTTAATATTAGGGCAAAAAGGAAAGAAAATCATCAGTATAACAATTAAAATTGATAGTCATCCTAAAGGAAACAAACATCAAGTGTGATTATTGAATTTACTGGGAAAAACTGAAATCTGAAAAGTAACTCTGGCTTTGGTAAACTCAGAACTCTATACGCAGTCTTGAAATGGCTAGAAGATTTTATTTTCTTGGGAGTCCAAGTAACATAGAACCAATGCAAACTTAGTGAAACAAGCTCAAAAGGTAGTAAAAGGTTTAATGATGCTCTAGAAACCAGTGAAGGAAATATTCTTGTTACAAAAATAAAATAGGAAATGAAAATCATTGTGTGGGAAAATAAGGTAATATTATATAGCTTCAGTAAAACCTTCAGAATAAATCCTTTTTTGTTTTTCCTGGCATTCTCTTAATATAAATGCAAAGAGTATACAAAATACTAGTCAGATGGATTATTCCTTGGTCCTTGAGTTACATACAATATTAGCAAATTTTTAAAAAGTTCAAAACCCTCCGTGTATTTAAAGTAATGAGAAGAGTAATTGATAGATTACTAAAACATATAATCCTTATTTCTGTGTTTAGTTCAGTTGCAAGAGAGTATATAAAGGTGTAGAAAATATTAAGTTCTTTATGTTCAAATGGAAAATGGAACCTTAGTGATAAAGAGCCAGGTGCACAAGCTCTAACAGCCTTAGCGAATGCCATCAGGATACCTGCTTTACAAAGATTTCTACCCTTAAAAGTTATCAGTGTAAGAAGTTCTCAACAGATTCTAAACAATTAAACTTTGGTTTTAAAATGTTGATTCCTTATCTATATTTCAAAACTAGTTTTCTCTTTATTATAGGCTGAAAAAGAAAATCCAGGTCTGACACAAGACATCATTATGAAAATTTTAGAGAAAAAAAGTGTAGAAGTTAACTTCACGGAATCCCTTCTTCGTATGGCAGCTGATGATGTAGAAGGTATCGGAAAGAAAAACCTTGTTTAAGTTTTACAAATGTTGAATAGCATTTCCTCTAAATCATTATTATTCGGCTAAAAAATCTTCCTTCCCTACTGCTTTTCCCCCTTCCCTTCACTTATGATGGTGGTGGTGGTGGTGATAGTGATAGTGGAAGCTAATCTAGATAAAATAGAAAAATAGTTTTTTTTCTTGCTTTTTATGTTTGTAAGATTTAATTACTTGAAGTTTGTTTATGCTACATGCTTTACTTTTTTCTTCCTTTATGTTTGGTGGTTTCAGTTTTACTAAAAGATAAGCTATTTGGAGTGTGTCAATTTTAAGCAAAAAATTTAAAGTTTGAAAATAATGAGGTTCTTGTTTGCTTGTTTTATTAACTTTAGTACAGCATCTTTTTTTCAAGCACAGATTTAAGAGAATATAACCATTCTTTTTGCTTTTCTTAAAAAATAACTAGACATGGGTTTTACTTAAGTTTAGTAGCAATTTTCCTACTAATTTAGAGAAATGTGGACATATAATTGCCCATAATTAAGGGAGAACAAAAAACAGGTATTTTAACTGATTCCATGATTATAAGAAAGCCCTTATCATTATTTAGAGTTGAGCATTTGCACCCCTTACATCATAATATATTGAATTGGTAGAGTTGTAATGCTGCCTACATTGATTGAATGTAGGCAGCATTACAATGAAGTCTACAGTGAACCTGGTGAATTCTGGTTGAACCTCCTTTCCGCAATTGCTCCGCTGTGATCGCAGCCCTTGTGTTGGATTTCTGGTGGTGGTGGTTTTCGTTTTTAAGTGAGATTTCAAGAATGTGTAAAAGATTTTATTAGATTGTTGGGGGTTTAATATAATGAAGCAATGTATATTCAATATAGAGGTTTTAGATTTTTAAACTAATCTTTCTCATTGGCAAATGGATATTACCTTGGCATTAGTTATGAATATCATTTAATTTAAAGTTTCCTTGGGAAATGTAACATCACAGCACTGATGAATTTAAGCCTCTTTTAAATCTGTTTTTTTTTAAAAATTTCATGGGATTTCCTTTTATCCCAAATTGAAAATATTATATTCTTTCATTTTCTGGTATTTTACTGGAAGGGAGCCCTGCTGTTATTACCGGACCAAGTTGAATGCTAATGAATTCTGCTTTGCAACCTTGTCTTTCCTAATTATCTGGCCTTTCTCCTCCCCCACCTGCCTTTGACCAACATTGGAACTCTTAGTTATGAATTTCGCAGAGAGTCACAGGATGTTTTTTATTATTATTTTATTTATTTTATCAGAGTATATGATTGAACGACCAGAGCCAGAATTCCAAGACCTAAATGAAAAGGCACGAGCACTTAAACAAATTCTCAGTAAGATCCCAGATGAGATCAATGACAGAGTGAGGTTTCTGCAGACAATCAAGTAAGCAATTATTTGTTTTGTTTCTTCTTTTCTTAAAAGTACTTCCAAGGAACTACTCTTCTACATTTTTAAATTTTGGTATAACATTAACTTGAAATACTAATTTGAAATAAAATCTCACATTTTTAAATATTGCATTTTATTAACTTTATGGCATTTGGTTTCAGGGTAAAACATTTTCTAGAATATTTAATTTAAAAATGAATGAATGAAATGTGTGTAAACGGGAATGTAGTTTCAACTACATAAATGATGGAAAATGTAAATGTCAGATAAATGAATAAACTGGATATGTCAGAGACTGGTAGTAAGAGATACCAAAATTGTTTTTATTTGGGAAATGACAGAAGTCATTAAGATAAGTTATGAACTCTTAGGAATGAGTAGCATTTTGTAAGGCTGACTAAATAGTCAGAGGCCTTTGGGGAATATAGGTGATAAAAGATCAATAATATGCATGGGGCCAGGAGGCTGGCTGGTGAGCAGCAGCAAGAAGGGCCATCCTAGAGCAGTAGTTCAGACAGGGGTACTGTCTGTCTTCTGGAGTACAGTGAGGGGTGAGAGGGTAGGGGATTGAGTGAAAGCATAATCCCTACATAAGTGCCTAAACTAGAGAGTCTGATAATTTTCTTCAGCCTCAGTGGATAGAAAACAAAGAAAGCTGGGAATATTTCCAGTGTCACTATCAATGCATGGTTTTGGTGAAACTGTAGGTAGATGTTACTGGGGAAAAAAAGATTTAGCACAGGTCTTTTTCTGGAAGAGGCTGAGATATATGTAGTAACTTTGAAGAACCTAAGGAGAGTCACTTGTAACAAATGTTAACATTCATCTTCTGGAGCTTGGGAAGTGGGAAGAGTGACAGCGGCCAGGCAGCCCAGCCTCATGAAGGCTCTCTGCATGCCGGGGCCCACATGCATCTGATATGTGGCTTCCCCACTTCCAGTGTACCCAAGAGGACGATCAGCCCAGCTAAAGGGGCAGTAAAGGAAGAGCCCAAAAGGAGACTGGCATGGCTGTCAGCTAACCTGCTTTTTCAGTAGTGGAAATGAAGCCCAGAAAGGTAGCAGGAAAGGATAAATCTTTAGGCAAAAAAGTGCAAACAAAAGGGAAGAGTAGCAAAGTGAAAACAGGCCAAAGTGGCTAACCAAGAATAAAGATTTACCTGCAGAAAACAGAGAAACTCAAACTGAAGGGAGTCCAGCTTCTGAAGCAGGAGAGAAAGAAGCCCACCCTGATTAATATCATATACCATGTTTTATCAGTGGTTCCTTGTCTCCCTTCTTATAAAATCCAGAGAAATATTTGTATCAACTGTGCTTTAAATGCAAGTTTTTTAGTAGCTCTGGAAACATATAAGGAAGGAATCCCACCTCATCCCATTTTTTAAGTGTAAATGCTTTTTTTTTTCTTTTTTTAAGGTGAAATAATTTGCTGGTTACTTTTTGGTACAACCAGAAAATAATGTTGGATATTGAATTATGAGAAACCTTGACTGTTATGAGTGTCAGCTTAATATTGCATGCATGGGTGGTTAGTTTTTATATCCCATAATTTAAAGCATACTGAATGGCAAAGTGGAGTCACAGTCCTGCATTTGATGATCTTGAACATTTTTAATTACTTCACTCTGTCACCCAGGCTGGACTGCCGTGGCGTGATCATAGCTTACTGCACCCTCAACCTCCTGGGCACAAGCAGTCCTTCTACCTCAGCTTCCTGAGTAGCTGGGACTACAGGTGTAGACCACCACACCAGGCTAATTTTTTTTGTTTGTGTGTTTTAGTAGAGACCACATTTCCCTACATCGCCCAGGCTGGTCTTTAAACTCTGAGCTCAACTGACCCCCTTCCTTGGCTTCCCAAAGTGTTGGGATTACAGGAGCGAGCCACCACACCTGTCCTTAAATTACTTCTACTCTTTATGTTGTTTTTAGTATTTTAGTAGAATTGTTTCCTTAGGCAAACCACTCCTTGTCAGAAGTGTGTGCACTGTGTAACATCTTTGGTCGTGGTAGTCATGTTTTTCTAATAACTTTGTTAACGTGTTGTGAAAGATTGAAGTATGTAGTGTATATGCTATTAAATTGTGACTTGGTGGGATGTATGTAACAGCTTAGCAAAATTTAAGGAAATTTTGCCTCAGTTGTAAGCTGGAAAGTCACTGGAATAACTTTAAAGAGGAATAATGATACATGTCTTTTTAGATTTTGCAGTACATATGTTGTGTACAAATTGAAATGTCTGTGTACTGATCCTCAACACAACCGATAAAATCTCTCGATTAGGAAAGAAAAAGAAAACATTCATCTTTTGAAAATAGTATTCTTTGTAATTCACATTGAGAAATGCTATTTTAGCTCGTTTGGATACCTAGTTTGGATGCCGTTTTGAGTCACATAAAGAGAGAATGCAACTATTTAGCTTCCCTAGGTGCAAACCTTGGTGCCATATATGAAAATACTTTTCTGTGTTCATATGGATAATATAAGTCCCAAAGAAAATAATGGTTTGTAATAGGTATGCAACCCAGCTATCAAGGAATGACTCTCCTCTTTGACAAAATTAAGGACCAGGAATATGAAAAAGGCTTTTAATTAAATAGCTAAAACCTGTGTCACAATGGGCAAACACTAAGGGTTTTATATTTTACCTTTCCTATAGGAAAGCCCCAACCTCCTTTTCTATTTTTAATATGTGAAGGGGGAAGATAATCAACTGATTATGGAGTTTTATTTTTAATCTGGTACAAGTTGAGCATCCCTAATTTGAATATCAGAAATTCTAGATACTCCAAAATCTGAAACTTGTTGAGCATCCTGACATGACACCTAAGTGGAAAATTCCACATCTAATGCCATGTGATGGGTTGTAGTAAAAACACAATCAAGACTTTGTTGTATACACAAAATACATGCATCTGTGAATGCACCTTTATGAAACACAAATAAATTTCATGTTTAGACTTGGACCTCATCCCTAAGTCTAAAGATTTCTGGTCTTAAGCATTTCATTTAAGGGAGACTTGCCCCGTATAGTTAAAGTAAAGATGTTTGGCCTGTAAAATAATAAATTGTCAGTGATCCCAAACTTGGTTTTTGTTTGGGATTTGACTATTTGTTTCTAAAGTTTTCAAATAATTTAGTAAGTTTTCATTTGCTTTGATAATCATGTACTCACTGATGAGTCATAACATTTCTATGAAAATATGACATTTAAATATAATATTTGCAGCAGATTTTGCTTCAGATCATCGAAGTAGGTTTACATAATCAATGTCATCTTAATAGCAATCACTTATATAGGACTTATTATATGCTTAGCACTGTTTTAATCACTTTAATATTGACTTATCACAACACCACAGTAACAAGTGAGGAAATTGAAGCAGGCACAGAATGTTAGGTGGGGTCACAGACCTTCCCTAGTAAGTGGTAGAGCCGGATTTGAACCCAGGCAATCTGATGCCAGGTGTTCACTGCTATTTCCCAGTTGTAGACTTATAATGTTGATCTAATCTGGTGATTGAAAAAAATGGTTTCTGCCATTTGAAAGAAGTGTGGTGAAGGCTATCTTAACATAAAATGCCAGTATGTGTGAGAGATGACAGTATTGTGGTTGAAGCTGGGGTCAAAATGTAGGCCTAGAGTCCTCATCCTGACACTTTGAGGTCCTCTTTCTCCCTACAGACTTCCTGAGACATCTCTGCTAAACCGTCTGTGACTCTAGGGAGCTACAGTTTAAAAACCACATTATTAACAGTACATTTAGTCATAAAGAAATTGAGCTTGAGAGTCTTGTCCGTAGTCATTAACAGGCTTTCGTTAAGGTGTTATTTCCTTTATAAGGGAATTACAATACTTCAGTTCTGTTTTCTGGAGTGTACTCATTTAGCACAATTGAATTAAAAGTAATGGCAGTGAAAATTTACTTCGTAACCATTTGAGGAGGGATAATTTGCCCTGGCAAATTTGTTGATCTGTATGTTAATTTCTGAGACTAAAATTAAACCACATATGAATAGCATAGATAGGCTAAAGTATAATTATTTGTATCACTGTCATATATTGGTACCTTCTGATGTATGCTCTTACCACTATTAATTGGCAAATTAGTGGATAAAATTTCACTAAAATAGAACATGATATCTCCTTCAGGTAAAGCATATTGTGCAGTTGCTGTTTCTCAATATTTTACTATTTCCTTAAGTCTAAGATAGTTATCCCCTTCGTTCATTTTAGCAACATTTTTCAATAAGCATGTGTCATAGACGTATTACACCAAGTACTATAGGTGATGCTATAGATTGTATCAAAGTATAAATAAAAAAGATTCCTGACAGCTAATAAATACTCAGTTTTGAATATATTAGCAGACCTAGGTTTGAATCTCCATTCCCACATTTAGCTGTGTAACCTTAGGTATAAGTTGCTTAACTTCTGTCATTTTAGTTTGTGCCTCTGAAAATGAGGGTAATGACTTGTGAGAATTCAAAGAAATGATGTATGTGAAGTGCCTAGCACAGAATCTAGCATACATTCAACAGTACCTGCTATAATAGCATTGTGAAATGAGGGTTTTCCCCACTTCTTTCAATGAATTTGATTAGGAAAAATGATCCAGCAAACAAATGTTTTAAAAGGACTCTTGATCAATGAATGACTGCATTTGAGCTATGCAAATATTTTATAAAATTAATTTGTATTTTTTGAAGTCCAGTACATCTTAGTTAATGGACAACTGGTAGAGACTTGTGCTTTAATAGATCAAAATTTAAAAGCCAGGTATTTATTTACCGTTTGTAATCTGCATTTGTGTATTCTTAGGCTAAAATTCAGCCAGGTTTATTTGTTTTAAGTTAGGAGTTTTCATGAAGGGCACAGAAGAGTGTTTTTCAGAGTTGTCTAGTCTAAGCCAAACTCCACATAAAACACAGGTATTTCCTTTCATTAGCGGGTTTACGTAAACATGTATCATACAAATTTGGGCGACATTATTAGAAACTCTACTTTCCCATGCAGTTTTTTGGTAAGATTTATGTTTCATCTGAAGCCTTTGTCTTTCAGTGTATATTTTGCAAAGCTGCACTACTGTTAGGTTAGTGCAAATTGATAAGTTCTTTATCCTTCTGCTCATACTATTTAGCTTCCCTAGTTGCAAACCTTGGTGCCATAAATGAAAATACTTTTCTGTGTACATATGGATAACATAATATTTAACATACATTGCTGCAGATTGTTTCTAGAGAACGTTTTTTTCCTGCGATTTTGTAGGTATTTAACAGTCTTTTTTCTTGTATCCAAACAGAAGGTCAGGCTTAGGAATAAACAGCCTTGGTTGACAGAGTTCTCTGTAAAGCTCTCTTCCAATAAGGCATTAAACCTTAGCTCCAGGTTTTCAAACCTGACTCATCAGCAGAGTTGTTCCTCCCCCACCCCCTTTTAAAGTAGAGATTTCCAATATTTATCAGCAGATCTCTCTTCTTTTGTCCAGCAAAACTTTTCCTTCTTCTCCCCTTGTCTTTTTGTCTCTCTAGGTGCATGGAGCAAAATGGTTCATACCCACTCTTTTGACTTGTAGAATACAGCCATTGTCATTGTATACAAAACATGTTCATCTTGATGACTACCCCTGAAAACACATTTTATTCCTCTTTAGCAGAATACTGAAATATACTACAAAGTGAGACTGCAATAAACTTCTGTCTGATCACTGTGTAATTTGCTCCGTTGTATTCCATTTTAAATAACTCCATTGTGGATTTGGAGAAACTTGCACATTTAGAGAGTTAACTTTTTTTTGTTGTTGAAGCTGTTAATTTTTCTCACATAATAGAATAGTCCTATGATAGCATTTTGTTAAAAGTGGTAGGTTTATGTCCATCACACCAATATACAAAGATTCAACTTGCTTAAGCCATAAATGAAGGAATAGTTATCTAATTAAAAACTGCTGTTACTAAATCAGGCAAAAAAAAAATTGGACAGACAACATTTATATAAGACTTATTGTCCTACTTGAATACATGTTTTCAAGTTTCAGCCCAGTACCAGTGTTTGACCTGAGAGAGGTAGTAAAATGTTATTGAAATAATGAATGAAAATGTAATTACTACTTCAGAGTAATCTAAAATACTTGTTTATATCAAAATTCTATTTGCTTTTAATTCTTAGAGTTTCTACATGCTTATTTACTGAAAAATATGCTGAGAAATACACACATGCATACAGAAACCTGGGCACTGAGGTTTTTCTCCCCTTGAAATAAGAGTGTTGAAATGTTTTGATATGAAATAACTGAAACCTGACATTTGTAATTAATATTAGTAATAAAATGTTATGTTTAGGATGGTGCAGATTTACATCTTACTCATTTCTTCACAGTTGCATTTGAATAGGTTTTTGTAGTGACTAACAGCTAAGCGAATGGATGTGAAAAAGAAGGTTTGTCTTAGAGAATGTGAGACTATTTAAGAATGCAGAATTACATTACAGTTTGACAAAAAAATTGCTATGAGGTTAGAATGGAAATCGAAAGGGGCTAGATAGAAAGGGGCTAGATATAAACAAAAAATGTTCAGAAAAAATGGTGCATGGATAGGAAGAGCAGTCAACTCAAATGAGAATTACTGATTTCTTCTTTTTCTTTCTTTAGAAATGGGAGGAAGGTGTTGATGCTTACATAGTCAAAGAGTGATTTCTGGAAAGGTTAAACCAGAATATTGTGATGTTGTCTCCCTCAGTAATTTAAATATATTTTCCAAGGGGAATAGTGACTGACAGCAAGTGTTTGAAAGAGGAGGATATTTGGTGCCTGGGTAGAACATAAAAGTGTCTATAAAAGAGTAAAAGGAGGAGGAATATTTTCTCAGAGGAGAGGAATATTTTCTGAGGAGGAACTATTTTATGTTAAACATCAAAACTAATAGGTATCTAGCATCAGTGTTGTTAAATACAGAATTGAGTTATATGTATATGTAATGCAGAATTTCATAAAATTGTTATTAATTGTTCAAATAACAAAAGAGAATATGATAGCTTGAATTTAGCTATGTTAGCTAGAGCAAAGAAAAATTTTAAAATGGGAAAAGACAGGCATAGGTAATGTATCCTTTAAAAAATTTGAGTAGGGAATGCTGAATGAAATGTGATTGATTGGAGAAAGTTGGTGTTGGTTGGCAACCTTGGTTAGTGGTGCAAGAGAATTAGGATTACAGAGGGTTACAGGCTAAAACCCCACTCCAACCAGCTAGCCAAGAAGTTGGCTCCTGATGAAGTGATTGTACTTACGATACAATAACTGTGTGCTGTGATTAGATTGAGTGTACTTAATTTCTTTCAAGTATAGCTGATGTTCTTTTCTTTCACAAATTTCTTTCAAATGTAGCTGATAATCTTTATTCTTTTCCCAACAGGGATATAGCTAGTGCAATAAAAGAACTTCTTGATACAGTGAATAATGTCTTCAAGAAATATCAATACCAGAACCGCAGGGTATGTTTAGTAGAAGCCTTCCCAGTTGACACCCTAGATGTTGGTTTATGCCTAGTTGTTTTATTGATTTAAAAATAAGATTGATTATTGGAAATTGTTTTGTGTCATTAACCAGAGTTTATCCTTGAATTTATGCCTTTTTATTTAAAAAATAATTTAAACAATTATTTAATAATTGTTGCCTATTAGTAATATTCATGTAAAGTGCATCATGCATCCCATATTCTGTATAATCTCCTGTCCTTGCCTTTGTCTTTTGTGATTATTTCTCTTATTTAGTATGTTTTTCTCATTATATTTCATGTCTGTAGGCACTTGAACACCAAAAGAAAGAATTTGTAAAGTACTCCAAAAGTTTCAGTGATACTCTGAAAACGTATTTTAAAGATGGCAAGTAAGTACTGCAATTTATCCTTTACTTTTAAAATTAAATAGATTATGTTGTTTTAGATGATAAGAAAACCATATAAATTAAGCCCTTTTACTTTATTGTTTGTATTCCAGGCAACTGGTAATCAAGCCAGACCATTAAAAATAGAAAATGAATGGTTGCTAATCTAGCCATAACTCCATTCTAGAGCGGGAGTTATCAGACTTTTCTGAAAAGAGCCAGATAGTAAATGTTAGATTTGGTGGGCCTGTTGCCATTATACACCTCGTCTACTGTTGTAGTACAGGAACAAGCCACTTGTTTGTACAAACAGGTGTACAAACGAGGAGGTGTGACTGTTTTTAATAAAACTTTATACAAAATTCAAATTTCAGTATCTTGAAATAATTTTTACCTGTCAGATAATTTTTTTTTTTTTTAACATTTAAAAATGTAAAAAGCATTTTTAGTGTATTGGTCTACTTTATACATTTCTGAAACAACGGTTCACAATCTTAGTAGCATCAGAGTCACATGGAGGACTTGTTACAGCACAAATTGCAAATTGCTCAAGGGTCCCGCTTCCAGAATTTCTGATTTCTTTGGTCTAGGGTGGAGCCCAAGAATTTGAATTTCTTGGAAATTTTCAGATGATACTGACATTACGGTCTGTTAAGAACTACTGTACTAAAGTTAAAGCAATAGTTATCAATCCTTCCTATGCATTAGAGTCACTTGAGGCCAGTTTTTAAAAAAATTATTGCCTAGGCCCCACCTGCAGAGATTCTGATTCAGTTGGCTGGGAGTGGAGCCAGGCTTTAGATGTTACGTAAAAGTGCGCCAGATGTTTTTAAAGTGCTGTAAGGGTTTTGATCCACTGTCCTGATAAGAGGCTTTCACAGCATCATTCTATAAAATAGGAAATATACTAAAATGTACATTGGACATTTTTAAATTTACATATAATTGGTTGTAATGCACTATAGAAAACCAAGAGATTTTATACATTGTAACATACATACATGCATATATATATATATATATATATAAAAGTGTGTAAACTGATGCAGAGGCCGGCCACATGGTTATTTGCACTTCAAGTCAAATGCGAGAATTTTTTTAACAAGATTATTTTTTAACACTGCTTAAAGTCAGAAAAGTAATCTAAATAGAGACCTCAGTCATCCCATCCCACTATCCAGGTTTTAAGATCTCTATATGCATGTCATATCATTACAGTATTTTAGTAATATTTAAAAATGATAAAAATACATTAGGTAAATTCTGTTAATTTTCAGAGTCTAACATGTTAATTTTTAACAGTTCAAACATCTTGAAATATTTACATTGTGAATTAAAGGTATCGAGCTAAATTTTATTAATTGTTTTGTGGTGATGTTCCATACACAGGTTTGTCTAAGGGACATGCTCCTTGATGACTTAATAAGCTGGCAGTTGTGTTTTGAAAATAAACTTTGATCTATGCTAAGCCCAAATAACCAAAAACACATTAAAAGAATATTTACATGATGGGATCATTATTTCTGATTTTAATTACTATTATGGAATAAGCACATTGAAAGGTAGACATTAATTTAGAGCCTAATTTTCATTAATTTGAAATTATTTACTCCGAATATGGATTATTCAGTCTCCTTGCTACTACTTTCTCTCCATGTGGTAGCTTTTTAAAATTCTAGTTCTTTGTGTATGAATAAGGTGTTGTGAGTTGTATGTCTCCTCAAAGCAGAAAATTAATGGTAGAGCCTGATCTTTAAGCCATGGATTTGCATTGATTCAGCTATTTCTTCCTGGGCCTTCTTTCTTTTATTTTTTGAGATGGAGTCTTGCTCTGTCATCCAGGCTGGAGCACAGTGGCACAATCTCGGCTCGCTGCAACCTCCGCCTCCCAGGTTCAGGCCGGTCTCCTGCCTCCGCCTCCCGAGTAGCTGGGATCACAGCTGCACGCCACCACAATCAGCTAATTTTTGTATTTTTAGTAGAGACCAGGTTTCACCATGTTGGCCAGGATGGTATCCAACTCCTGACCTTGTGATCCGCCCGCCTGGGCCTCCCAAAGTGCTGAGATTACAGGTGTGAGCCATGGCGCCTGGCCCTTGGGCCTTCTCTTTTGAGAAATGTCTAGGATGCAGGTACATGCTAGATACGATACTAAAAGACTGTTAAGGCCACACAGTGGGACTAGGGTGTCAGCTCTCTGTTCCAGCCACATGAAGATGAGCCATTAGGAGAATGTGGTGGAGCACAAAGCCAATTTTAAAGAATATATTTTTATATGTTGTCAGTGCCCAGATTTTGAAACTGCATGATTATTTTGTTTTAAATGTATGTTTATAGTAAAAGTAGTTTGCCGTTTAGAATTTCTACCTTTTTTTGAAGGAGATAAAGATTAGGATGAATCAGATTAGAAGTAATTAACTTTTTCTTGAGTATTTATTATGCCTGTTAATGTACAAGATTTTGAGATTATGATACTTTGCTAGATTTTACTTGTTAACTTCTATGAAGCCACAACTAGAGACCACATCTGAATCCTCCTTTTGGCCAGTTAACTTGTTCCATCTGTAAATGAACTGGGGTTGTTGAGGTCCCAGCCTCCGACGCTTTATTGCCAGTCAAAACCACAAGGGGGCAGTAATTCCTAGTTAGTTTAAAATGATGCAAGGCTATGAAATCCTAAATTGGAATAAAAATTTTAATACTCTGTACTAATTTGTCTTTTCTTATTAAATTGATTTTATTGCTACTGTTAGTAGTATAAATCTTAAAGGGTGATTTTTTGGATGAAACTAATGCTGCTTATTTTCTTTTTAAACAGGGCAATAAATGTGTTCATAAGTGCCAACCGACTAATTCATCAAACCAACTTAATACTTCAGACCTTCAAAACTGTGGCCTGAAAGTTGTATATGTTAAGAGATGTACTTCTCAGTGGCAGTATTGAACTGCCTTTATCTGTAAATTTTAAAGTTTGACTGTATAAATTATCAGTCCCTCCTGAAGGGATCTAATCCAGGATGTTGAATGGGATTATTGCCATCTTACACCATATTTTTGTAAAATGTAGCTTAATCATAATCTCACACTGAAGATTTTGCATCACTTTTGCTATTATCATTCTTTTAAGAATTATAAGCCAAATGAATTTACGCCTTAATGTGTCATTATATAACATTCCTTAAAAGAATTGTAAATATTGGTGTTTGTTTCTGACATTTTAACTTGAAAGCGATATGCTGCAAGATAATGTATTTAACAATATTTGGTGGCAAATATTCAATAAATAGTTTACATCTGTTAAACATTTCTTTACTTGAAAAAATGCAAATGTATATGTCTGTGTGTGTATATATATATATATATGATCACAAGACAAAGACAACTTGGTATAATGTCTAAAAAACTTCTAATGGGCACTTATCAGCAGTTTATCAAATAATAAATCAAGAATTTCTATTTTTGTCCTTTGGACAAAAAGTAGTCAATGGAAATATTTTTGTTAATTATTACATATAAGGTACTGAGTATTTTTATATGATTTCCAACCTGTTTTAAAAGACTTATAAGAGATGGCATTTTCTAGTGCTTTCACACTATAATGCCACTATTTCAACTCTTGTGACAAATGTAGATTTGACTCTGAAAAATTAAGTCTTTCATATACTGGGCCCTCATAAGTTTTGCACAATTTTTCCCCCTCAAATAGCCACAATTAATAGTAATTTGAAGCTGTAGCAACAGTTGGATTGAAATTGTCGTGTTAATATTCTATACATTCTTCAACTAGGTACAGTTTTATTTTACCATAGAGCAGTTTTAAGGAAATTATGTATCAAGTATTCATGTTGTTTCATTTTTCAATTATGATAAAGGGAAGAAATCAGAATTTGCTTATTTTTATAAAGATTTTAAATGTTAAACTAAGTTTCTGTTGGCAGTATACTTTTTGCTATTATGCAAATCAGTTATTTTTTTCTCCATTTTAAAAAACAGATTTTTAAAGAATTACTGTCATCGGCACCATATTAAATGGATATGGAAAATATGTTGAAAGGAGCAAAAAAACCCATAGGCAATTGGATGAAATCTCTTAACTAATGAACATTTTACTGACCTTTTTTTCTTCAAAGATATGTAGCCAGTAAAACAAGTAGAATGGTGACCTTTATTATTTATTATTGGCATAAGCTATCATTCACTCTTGGAAGTAGATGAGTGATCATTTGCTGAATAGACTTGTGGATACATGAAGAAGAAAAGATCCTGTTTTATTTGCAGCAGACTTTTTAAACATCATTTCTAACATCATCTGACGTTTAACATCATCATTCCTTCTGCTGTTTTTACCCTCAAAAGAACTCAGCTGGCTACTAGAGGTGCCTCATATCGCCTGTTTTTATAAGCCTTTCATATTTTCATTCCACTATCCATTATTTCTGACTTCAGTTTTCACAAAATATTCCTCCACAAAGGAGGCTTATTCTTATAATACTTTAGTTTCTTTTGTGATCATGCCAACAGGGCTGAGTTTGCGGTAAAGAAGAAAAGTGGCTTCAGAGGAAAGGAAGAGGCGGAAAAGCAGTCCTATGATTTAGCTATCTATCTTACAACCGAGGAAACTGACAGAGCTTAGGGTACGCAGCTGGTAACTGCTTGGGCCAGAGTTTAAATTTGTGTCCAGATTCCATGTTCTTTTCACTGAACTGTACTGTCTCTATTACTGAAAATGTATCTTGTTTAGGATATTAGTTCCCAAACACCAGTTTGAGAACCCTATCCGTGATCCACAGGAAAATGAGAATAATTAGAACAATGATTATTTTTTCATAAATCTAACTATATTCCTTTTAAAGGTTCATGGAGATTACTGCTGTTTTGGATGTTTAAAATACCCCCTTTTCCACACTTTTTAAATAAACGATATAATAGTAAATTTTTTTTTTAATGACTTTTAAAAACCTTATTAGGCAAAACAGGTTGACAACTCATTATCAGACTCTCTTAATTTAAATATTTTATATGGAAATGATTTCAAATTTACAGAAAATTTGCAAGCATAAGAATAGTGCAAAGAATATCCATAGGTCCTTTACCCAGACTCAACTATTCAAAGTTTACCCTCTTCATTTTATTGTTTGCTTTTTCATTTGTCCTGCCTTAAGTCTCCTTTACTCTGAATTAATTCCATGGCCACCTTGGTCTTTTATAGCATTGAATTGGATTTAAGTTATGCATTCTTGGTGAGAATACTCTGTTGATGGTACTGTGTCATTATGGTATGACCTTGGGGGCACACAATGTCCATCTTACTAGCGGTGTTAATTTTGATCACCTGATTAAGGTAGTGTTCAATTTCTCCAGTGTGTAGTTTACTGTGTTTTACCTTGCAATTGATAAGCAATCATTGGGAGACTCTTTTAAGTCTATGCTAACAACATTTTCATTCAGGATTTAGCATACATGGATGATTCTTGATTATTCAATTTCCAACTTCAGCATTCTTTCCACATGTACCAGTTGGCAATTAATATTTTATTGTAGCCCTTTTCTCCCCTGACCCTCCAGTTCATCCATCTATAGCCACCTCATTTTTACATCTATTACTGATATAAACTCATCCTTTTTAATGTTTTTCCAGTGGTTTTTAATTAATTTTACCATAGTTACTTTGATTCTCAAGTTGCCTTAGATTTGCACAGTAGAAACTATTGAGCTGGCTCCCATGTCCTTGTGTCATCCTCTGTCATTTGTTTAAAGTACTACTTACATTATATAGAAGGTATTCTGGGATCTAGAGTCAGCAGTTTTCTCTGTAAAACCCCAGGGAATGTTAAGATACCTAGATCTGGATGCTGGATGTGCTCATTGCTACCGGGAGTCTATTTCTAGGCTATTTTATAGACAGAACTAGAAAAGTCATGTATGTACAGTTGGCCCTCTGTGTCCATAGGTTGGGCATATATGAATTCCACATCCCTGGATTCAACCAACTGAGGATCAAAAATATTCAACTAAATAAGCTATAATTTTTTTTTTTTTTTCTCTCAGACAAGAGTCTCTTGCCCAGGCTGGAGTGCAGTGAAATCTTGGCTCACTGTAACCCCTCCTCCCAGGTTCAAGTGATTCTTAAATAGCTTAGATTACAAGTGCCTGCTGCCACACCCCGTCAATTTTTGTATTTTTAGTAGAGAGGGGGTTGAAGCCCCCTATGTTAGCCAGGCTAGTCTCAAACTCCCAACCTTGTGATCCACCAGCCTTGGCCTCCCAAAGTGCTGGGATTACAGGTGTGAGTTACTGTGCCTGGCCTGATAAATTTAAAAATACAGTATAACAGCTGTTAATGTCATTTACATTGTATCAGGTATTATAAGTAATCTAGAGGTGGTTTAAAGTATATGGGGGAATGTGTATGTGTTATATGCACGTACTATGCCATTTTGTTTAAGGGCCATGAGCATCCTCAGATATTTGTATCCCCGGGGGGGTCCTAGAACCAGTCCCCCATAAAGGCATGACTATACGTTAACACTCAATATGCATATCCAGATAGCATTAATATGTGCTAATATACATGTTATATTTGATTTCAGAAATGAGTTTACACCAGTGCCTCCAATTTCAATCCATTATCACAGGATTCTTTCTCACTTCCCTATTGGTATTTCTATGTCACTCCTTCCTCAAAAATCCTAGATTCCTCCCAAAAATCAATTGATTTATTCACTCTATCCTATGTCTGAAAGAATTTCAGAATTACTTTTGCCTATGTTGCTGTAAAAATAAGATTTGCAGTTCCCTACCTATATCCTGCCCAAGATTAAGGATAATGGCTACATTGTGCATTTATAAAGTATTTGTATTTTTTTTTAATCCTTCACTGTGATTGTTATTTGAAAGACAATTTTCATTTTTTCAATTTGCCTTCAGGTTTAAAATCTTTCTCCAAGCCCCCTCTCATCCTTGTTGATTTAATTTTATTTAAAAAATAAATGGAGCCATAACATGCTTCTAGAAGTTAGAACCTTACTAAATTATATACTCAGAAGTGTAACTTTCTCTCATATATGTTCTGCCCCATTCCCATCCATTGTAGGTACCCAACAACACTGGTTTTGGTTTTTGAGGTTTTTTATGAAGGAAAACAATAAATGTATGTTGTTGTTTTTTTCTTTCCTGTCTTTCTTACACAAAAGGTAGCATACCTGAAGGGAGACCAACCATCTTAGTTTGCCTAGTACTGAGAGATTTCTTGGGTCACAGAACTTTTAGTGCTAAAACTGGGACAATCAGGCCAGCTGGGATGGCAGGTCAACTTACATACACTTGTTAAAACAGCTTTATTGATGCATAATTTGCATACCATAAAATTAACACCTATGTCCTTTTGAATTTTATTGAAGTATAATGCTATAAAATGTTAAGTCTATGCTATTCATTGATATTTGATAAATTTACAGAATTGTATAACTTGATCACAGTCTTAACTAGAATATTTTCATCATTGCTATAAAATATGCTCAGTTACAGTTAATCCTTGTTTCCTCTTCCAGCTCCAAGGAACAACTAGCTACTTTCAGTCCCTATAGATTTTTCCTATCTGGACGTTTTATGTAAACAGAATCATCTCTTTTCAATTTGGCTTCTTTTGCATAATGTTTTTGAGGTTTACTTATGTCATAGAATATAGGGCATTTCCGTCGTATACTTATTGCTGAATAGTATTTTATTATATACTACATACTATGGTATGTTTTACTCATTTATGTGTTGATGGACCTTTTGATTTTTTTTTTTTTTTTTTTGCAATGATGCATAATGCTGCTATGAACATAATCATGCAAGTCTCTGAAAAGTGGCTTTTCATTTTGGGGTAGGTGTGAAGTTGCTGGGTTGTAAGGTAAATTTATATTTATTTAAGAAATAGCTAAACTTTTCTAAGTGGTTGTATCATTTTACATCCCTATCAACAATGTATTAAGGTTTTCTGTTTCTCCACATCATTATTTGTTAATGGCTTTTGAAAATTACAGACTTTCTTGTAAGTGTGAAGTAGTGTCTTATTATAGTTTTAATTTGCATTTTCCTGACAAACGATATTGACCATTTTTTGTGCTTATTAGCTGTTTCATATACATGCTCATATATACATTTTTCAATTACCATTTCCATAAATTCATTAAATTCAGAGATTGATCTCTCACACACTTTTTTTGTAGTATTCCATGGCATGTAGATGCCGTAGTTTTTTCTCAACAATCTACTTTCTATGGGCATTTAGGTAGCTTTTAATATTTTACCAAAATA